GGTCTCCGCGGTCACAGGCTACTGACTGGAGTGGGGCTGACAGGGCTGGCGCGTCCCAGAGCGGGCTGCGCGTTCCGGCTGAGTTGTGGGTGAAACGAAGCCGGCCCTTATGCAGTGGGTTACTTTGGAGCTGGCCGAGGTGCAGGGGTCTGCCTTATTACCAGTGTAGCTGCTACTATGTGCTGCTGGCTGCACCGGCACAGCAAGCCCCCCCGGGGGGCCCTCCCAGTGCGAGATCTCGCTGTTCCCATCAAAGGGGGTCGGGGTGGGACTGGATGGGGTGTCTCTGCCATATAGGTACATGACACAGTGAAAATAGTATTTAAAAATATATGTGTACTGTGTATGGGAAGGAAGACCAACCTTGCTCCTATGAACAGTGACTCTGATGATAATGTTTGTGGCTGGAGCTGTCATAAAATGATGTATGTGTATCCACTGCTTTTGTGTTAATGCTGGAGCTTGCTGTAACATCTAGGTGTTTAAAGAGACAGCTGTGATGTTACTAGTATCTTCGATCAAGTCAGAGGCTGTTATTGTATCTAATATGGACAAGTGTCTCTCATTCTCAAGTATTGATCTCAGTTTTTAACTTTTGTGGAGTGAACTTGCTGTTTATTATTTGCTCTGTTTTTCAGGCTTGTTTTTTATCTGTTTCTCTCAAAACCTAATAAGCAAGATGTCTACTAATGAGAATGCCAATGTAGCAGCAGCTCGCTTGAACAGATTCAAGAACAAAGGAAAGGATACTACAGTGAGTATTTTGGTGCAATTAGTACTTTAGCTACCCATCATCTCTTTAAACATGAGTTGTAAAAGCCAAGAACTTACTATGAATGTATATCCTCCAGGAAATGAGAAGGCGGCGTATTGAAGTCAATGTAGAGCTGAGGAAAGCTAAGAAAGATGACCAGATGCTTAAAAGAAGAAATGTTAGCACTTTACCAGATGATGCTACTTCTCCCCTTCAGGAAAATAGGAGCAATCAGGTAAGTAGGTACTTGGAATGGGCACACTTGGAGGTCTTGCAACATGAGCGCTTGGAATGGGCACACTTGGAGGTCTTGCAACATGAGCTCATATAGCCACACTAGTATGAATTCCTTCTTGTGAGGGACACAGCGCTACTACATATACACTACCAATTTAAGCCTGTACTACCAGCTCTAATGGACAACAGTCTTAAAATGTAGCTTAACCAGTTGTGTTTAAGCCTACTGTATCAGTGTAACAGTGGTGTGAAGCACTTGATTAATGAAAGTTTTCAGTAGTTCAGATAAATGTAGATAAAGCTGTAGCTGATGAGGTTTTAGAGTATCGTAGTGGTATAATCTTTTAATAAAGGAAGCGGTTGTAAACCATGGTCTATATTCGTAGTATTGTATAGAAGGCCTCTGTGGTCATGAAGACATGCCTCTCCCAACAAAGCGTTCATGTAACTCTCTATTATACAGGTTTCAGCACACTGGTCAGTTGAAGAAATAGTCAAAGGAGTTAATAGCAATAATATGGAGCTGCAGCTACAGGCTACGCAAGCTGCCAGGTAAGGAGTTTAGAGGTAACCGATTCAGCTGTGCAAGCCAGTAACTAGGCAAGGTAAAAGAATTGTTTATGAGCCTAAGAGTCTGCTTATGGCAACAGCTATGGCTCTTCTTATCAGACAGTATTTCAACAAACACCTGAGCCAGCCTTATGTACAATGTTTAGGTACACTTAACCTGGTCATAATTTTATTGAAATCGTGTGGCTTTTGAATGTTTAAAGTGCCTGAACATTTTACTAGAAGTAGTAAATCTTTCTAGTGATTTTGATGTGGCAAAATAAATAATAGTTCATCTTAGAGTTGTAGGAGTAATAATAATAAACCCTTTGTTACAGAAAAATAAGATATCTTTAAACAATGCAGTGGTCTACCTTAGAATAATGTGAACAGTAAGATGACTGGGTTTGAAGTACACCAAATTTCCTTTCTCCTTCCAAATCTAAAATCTCCTTTAGCAAACTTGTATGTATATTGCTGCAGTGCTGCTTCTGGCAGTCATTAACCTGTCTGCTGAGAAACCTCTAGCAATTCAGATGTATTATGACTCTTGCAGGTCTGCTTTACTTCAGAGTCCGAAGTGAATAGTGAAGACATGCCAAAACCAATGTTAACAGAGGTTTAGGAAGCTAGTATTTGGCTTGTCTGTATTTCTCCCTCATGTCTTGTTGCATTGCTTTCTCTGAATGTTAAGGCAATGCTGAACCTTTTCTTTTTAAATATGGATCTTTTTAGACTGTTTAATCTGTTGTTCAGATCTCTGCAGGCAAAAATAATGCTTTCTGTTTGTCTTCCTCCTTAGGAAACTCCTCTCAAGAGAGAAGCAGCCCCCTATAGACAACATAATTCGGGCTGGTTTGATTCCAAAGTTTGTCTCCTTCTTGGGTAGAGCAGACTGTAGTCCTATTCAGTTTGAATCTGCCTGGGCGCTTACCAACATTGCTTCTGGCACGTCAGAACAAACAAAGGCCGTAGTAGATGGAGGGGCTATTCCAGCCTTTATTTCACTACTGGCCTCTCCCCATACTCACATCAGTGAACAGGCTGTGTGGGCATTGGGAAATATTGCAGGTATGTCAATATGCTACATGACTCTTTCAGACCTGTTCCCTTATTTAAAATAGGAGGATGTTACTACTGACACATCATGTAGCATGCTGAGCTTCTTGGGAACTCTGCCTTAACGCTTTGCAAGTAAAGACGTGCTCTGCAATGTGGAGTATGCTATGGACAATTCTTTATTTTCAGACCTGGTATAAGATGTCTCGTGCAATACCTGGCAACCTGTGGATTGCTTCTGTATTTCAGTTCCGTTTTCATAGAGCTATGTAACCATGCTACAACATAGGGCTTTTTCATATATCTCACTTGATGTTTTTGTGACTTATCAGTGAGCTTTTTAAACTCAATTGTAAAGTACTTCTACCTTGCAATAGAATAATTCAGGCAAACTTTGATATTCCTTCAGCATTATACTATAGAACCCAATCATGCAACCAATGATTATAATGCATTTGAAGTCCCACGTTATGGGAAGAGCTCTGTTCTATTGTTAGGGCTTCGATATGTTTTCAAAGAAACATGCAAGTCCCTACTTAGTTATGAACTCTAAGGAAAGTTGTATAGAAAACATACACTAAATTACCTCCTCTTCCAATAGAAAAAAAAAATTAAGCTCAGTGGGTTGATTAGAAAAACACATGCTTATCATATGACTTAGCTAGGGCAGTAGTCCTTTTGTCCTCTTATTTCTTTTTATTTTATCTAGCACTTCTTAAGCAGTAGAAGAATTCACCTAACACACAATGATTCTGTATGCACACATCCCTCTAGTCTGGTCTTCACCTGGCTATTTTTCTTGTTTTCTCAGGGGATGGTTCCACCTATAGAGATCTAGTTATTAAATTTGGTGCAATTGAGCCACTGCTGAGTCTACTAGCTGTTCCTGATCTCTCTTCTCTGGCTGTAAGTGTGCGATATGATTCAAGTTACAATTACTAATAAGCAAGCAAAAGAGCTCAAGTAACTAAACAGTTGCTAACCATTTATTTTAACTCTTGCAGTCTGGATATTTACGCAATGTTACCTGGACCCTCTCAAACCTGTGTCGTAATAAGAATCCTGCGCCACCCGTAGAAGCTATTGAGCAGATTCTTCCAACTCTTGTTCGGCTCTTGCACCATGATGATCATGAGGTGTTAGCAGACACATGCTGGGCACTTTCCTATCTAACAGATGGTTCCAATGACAGGATAGAAGTTGTAGTGAAAACCGGATTGGTGCCACAACTTGTGAAACTCCTGGGATGTAGTGAACTGCCAATAATGGTAAGCTCTCAGACGTGCAGATTGCTGTTGCTTGATTTGAGTCATGAATAAAACTGTGGTTAAAATAGTGTCCATGTAATTGAAAGGTTCTTTTCATACCTAAATCTAATGCTTGTTCCAGGTTTTGCGTAGGTAAGACTTGAGCTTCTCTCTTGCCTGGACACTGCCCCATATGAGGCATAGACTATTGCTGTTGATGACTATCAGGCTTCTTTATATAATCATTGGATTTAACACACAGGCCAGCAAAACAGTCAATGTTCTTTAAAGCTTGCTTTTAACTCTAAGCTACCATTGCAAATCCAAACTCTAGGGACAGTGTTTAGAAGTGGGCTCTGTGCACACTATAATTATAGCATAATAAAACTGCATTAGTACTTAGGAAATGGCTTTCCTAAGCTCTGTCATGGGTAGTTGTTTGCAGATTGGCCTTGGAAGGTGTGCAGTCTTAGCATGCTTGATGTCTGCATATGTAATCCTAATGAGGAGCTTAAAGCTCATCAGTACATAGCATATCACGGCTAGAGTGGAGGGGCATCAAGTATGGCTGTATTTGTTCAAGCACAGATTAGATGATACCAATTTGCCTAAGTACTACTTTCATATTTGTTTCAGACTCCTTCATTAAGAGCCATAGGAAATATCGTCACTGGTACTGATGAGCAGACGCAGATTGTTATTGACTCGGGAGCGCTATCTGTCTTTCCAAGTCTCCTTTCTCATCATAAAAACAACATTCAGAAAGAAGCAGCGTGGACAATGTCCAACATCACTGCTGGACGACAGGACCAGATTCAGCGAGTTGTAGACCATGGTCTTGTACCTTATCTCATTGGTATTCTGAGGAAGGTAAACACAAACTATATTTACTACGTTGAGGCTTGTGCTATTACTACTACTGTCTGTGTTCAAATACCCTGCTTTTACCTTCACAGGGGGATTTCAAATCTCAAAAGGAAGCTGTGTGGGCTGTGACTAACTACACAAGTGGTGGAACAATTGACCAGATCGTGTATCTCGTTCAGGCTGGTGTTGTTGAACCCCTCCTGAATCTCCTTTCAGCTAAAGACAGCAAAACTGTGCTAGTTATTCTGGATGCTATTTCTAATATCTTCTTGGTATGTGGATGCAGTACACTCAATCACTGTCCAAGCTGTTGCTAGTGGTTCTCCAGTAGCTGGTGCCATACATCTTTCCTGAGGTTATTCCATGCTTGTCTCTTGCAGGCTGCTGAGAAGATTAATGAGACTGAAAAACTTTGCCTCATGATTGAGGAGTGTGGAGGTCTAGATAAAATTGAAGCTCTCCAGTCACATGAAAATGAACAAGTGTACAAAGCCTCATCCACCCTCATTGAGAAATATTTCTCAGCAGAAGTAAGTGGCTGCAGGATGATTTTTCTCACTTTTGTTTTCTATTCTAGCACTGACTACTACATTGAAATGCTACTGCTCTTTCAAAACTCTTTTCTTTTTCTTCTAGGAGGAGGAAGACCAAAATGTTGCACCAGAATCTACTGCTGCCAGCTACACTTTCCAAATTCAGGGCAATGTTCCAAACACTTTCAACTTCTAGGTCTTGCATATACTGCAACCACCTACAAGCCGTTTGGCACACAAGTGACTGCCACCTCTTTGTCTTAATAGTTCCTCTTCTTTTTTACTATGTTTTTTTATGTGACCTGTAGCACTTTGTCCAACTGAAACATACTTGAACAGTTCAAAACTGTACATATTATGTGAATTTCTAACTGTAAACCTCATTCTTTCTGAGAGGTACTTGTAAATACTTGTTCTCTTTCTGGCTCTTACTGTCCCTGTCAGGCATAAGAATGCAAGTGGGCAATTCAGGCTTCTCACAAAGCATGAGCCACTACTCTGCAAACCTCTTCATAACCTATTACATTCTACGTAACCTATTGCTGTAATCAATACACTGAGTAGGCTTTTAAAGAGGACTTATGTTTGAAGTTCAATAAAGTGATATCAATACATCAAATTGAACTGTGTCAGTTGCTCTCAAAAGGTGACCAATATGGTAAGTATACTTAATCAAAAATGTATAATGACAAGAATGCAGGTCTAAACTAGGAGAGATTCAAATCTGAAGATGGTGGTTTTAAAATAGCTTGGTCAATCCCTGTTCATAACTGAGCTAAACTATCCTCTGCCTTTTGGAGAAATAATTAAAGACTTGTAGTAGCACTACTTAACTGCAAGTAATAGTGTGGAGGAGGGGTAAGTACAGCAATTAATCAATTATAGTATGTTCAGGTAGCCTCGGCATAGAGCATAGGAGAAATGCTTTGAAGCAGTTTCCTGCTCTAGAGAGCAAAAATGAAGGCCTTGTCTTGGAATCTATTGTCCCTTTACTTCTAAAATCATTACACTAACCTAGTAACCTCCTCTGTCTCTAAAGGTGGTTGTGTGGGGTGGGGTTTGGGGGTGAGTACTGAGTGGAGAGGAAGAAGTGTAGTCCTGTTTTCCAGCTTTTTGGAAGAACTTGGATTGAGCTAGTTCATTCACTGGAACCTCCCAGGAGTCAATGTTCTGAATAACTAAATTGACTCAGCCCTCTGAGTTTCTCTTGCTCTTACGATGGTGCAGGAGAGGTCAGTTTTTCATGCCTAGATTTTTCATAGGCATGACTTATATTTGAAACATAGCATTCACTTCAGTATTGTATGTTGGCGCTCTCTTCAAACATTAAGAAAAGGTAGGGGGAAAAAATCTAATGTGTAGGCACAGGCCTTGCTTCTGCCTTTATGGGGGTGAGGGGAATTAAAAAAAAAAAACAAACCCAAACGAATAAAAACCAAAACCCCTTGTATTCTAAGTGAACCTGATGAAAGAATCTGGTTTGGTCTTAAGCAGACTAATGCATATTGTGTGCTTTCAAGTCTTTTAAAAGTGCAAATGCATATATAAGTGGATTTGGGTGTAACTCTAAATTCTTCATTAAGAATACCTGATCTTAAAAGGACATTCTTTCTAAAACCTAGATTACCATTCTCATATACTGTTACTGAAGACCTCTTTAAATGATTTCTTGCTAATGTGGAAGATGCCACTCTCACTTCCATTATTGTGGTGCAAGTCTACTACTGCCTATTTCACGTTTGCTTGCAGAAATGGTGCCCTCCCTCACTGGAGGCTAATGATTACACATGCACCCACATGACTTCTCTGTGCCAGATACTTGCTTGGATTTTAGGTACTGCTGGATGGTGATAATGTTACAAAAGGTAGCAGATAACTTGGCTGCATGTACATTCATATCTGTTCTTATGGTTGGCAGCAATAACGTTTCCTGCAGAGCAATCACTTATGAACTCACTCCTATGGATACTTCTGCTGGGCTATTTAAGCCATAGGAGCCATCCAGCTCAGAACATGGTTGTGAGACACTTACATTGCTGTCACTGGTATATCAATGGGGTTGCAGTTTTTACATTTCTTGCAAAAATCACAGTATCCTGAGCTGATTAATGATGACTTCATACTTTTGACTGTACCACTATAACTGCTTTTTCTTTACGCCAAAAGAAAGCTGCAGCAAATAATAAGCTTTACAATAGGAGTCTTCAAAGACGATCAGACTAATGGCTCTTGTAACCCTATTGCATTTTCTGCTTGAGAAGTTGATGTCAGTGTTACTAACCTCCTGTCTCTATGCCTGTGCTGCCAAATGAAGGGTGAGACTGAACCGTGGCACGTTCCCAGCCCTGTACTAATGGGAAAGACTGTAGGTGGCACCCAGCACCTGCAGAAGAAGCTGTAGACAGTGCCAGACTGAGCAGCAGAACGCAAGTCTAACACCACAGATACTGTAACACCCTTGGGACCAGATTCTGGTATTATCTTAGCGGTACCCATGCAAAGTGGAAAGAACCATCTGCCTTGCAATGCTGAAGCCGTTAATGTTCTGGGAGGGAAAAACCAACCAAATAGGGCTTTTATGCATCTGCAGTGAAGCCTTGTGTGCTTTGTTGTCAAACCTCCAACTTTGACCTAAAAGCATCAGTTACAAAATCATGATTTTCTGTCTAACTGTCTGTAGAGAACTGAAAGAATTAACCTATAAAAAAGCAATTATGCAAAGTCAGATTTCGTAAATGAATTCATTGCTTCCACGTACTTTATGTTTGTGGGTTTATAAGGGCAATGACACAATGACTTGTGAAACATAATTCAGAATTCTTGAGTCATTTTAGATTTCTAACTCTGTAAAATACGGCATCTTGCAGTAGAGGGTGCTACAGGCAACCGCACAGTCTTGTTTGCTTTGAAGAGGTTGATGCAGAGTTTCACCCAGCCTGGACCACTCAGGTATGATGTACTTTATTTTCCTATTAAGAAAATAGTAAGATAAAATCCATCGGGGCATCTCTTGTAGTTGCAGAAAATATCTATGTGCTAATTCCCGAGTATTTAACCAGATTAAATATTGAATATAAGGTATAAACTTTTAAAGGTGGTACAACAGTGGTACTGTTACTTTAAAACACAACTCCTTGCTTTAATCACTTTTTAGTATATATGCAGTTAATTTGACTTTTCTATCTTTGTATATAGTAAAAGGGATGACAATGCAGAACACTTGAATAGCGTTATCTCTACTTTTTTTTCCTGACGTGCTTGTTTCAGAATTATCTAATATATTGAGTTAATAATAGAACACTGCAAATTCTTCTCTAGGTGCATGACAGCTCAGTAGCTTAATAATCAACTTTCTGGGGACCGCGACTTTGTTTTTATCCGAGAAAAATGTGTTCAGCCTATCCACCAATGAGCCCCGTTCTTGGCAGCACATATTTCCGCAAGCAACAATCTACAGTGATTATGCGTAAGTGACTGGGGTGAGTCACTCCTTATTCTAAGAAAATGCAAACTATTTCTGGGGTTAGGATCACAGTCACCCATTAGGCCGCGTCTCTAGCTTAAAAAAGTGGTAGGAGCAAAAAGGGAGAGGAGAATTGTTATTGCTCCTGGTTCTTCGTTTGTAGGTTGGGTTTTTTGGGGTTTTTTTGTGTTGGCCAGCCAGATTAAAGAGCTAGCCTTTTTTATTTGGCAAATGCCTAATTCAGGACAAGGGCTGGAATAAATGTCTGGTGGCCTATGTGTCAGTCTGCCAACTCCTCTGTGTTGAGAGCAACAATAACAGACCCCTGCTGACATCAACTGGCTTGGAATGCAGTTGTTGCTAATGCTATTTTATCTGTGGAGTGATGGCAAGATTTCAGTCGAAGATCTCAGCAAATGTAACCGCCTCTGAAATTCTGATGCTAGCAGATGCTGCCTGTGTGATTGCTTGCACTTGCTGTTTCCAAAGATGCTGGGCTCTGAAAGAGCAGAGACTTTGCAGTCCTGTTGTTCAATAGCATGTCTGTTCACTTTCCGCTACAGGAAGAACAGTTTAAACTCTGAAAAAGCTAGAAATGGTTAAATTAGGAGAAATCTATTCTTTATTTCCCTGTGATTTAGACTGAAATATTCTCTTAAGTGAAGTTGCTTCCTGCTGCTCTACACAGAATGATTTAAATTGCACAGAAGTACAGTAATATATCAGCAAAAAGGAACAGCTGTAAGTTTACAGGAAAAGGAATTCACTAGCCAATAATATTTCACAGTTCTCTTCTGTTTCTAAATCTATTTTACAGCAGAGCAAACTGAGATACAAGAAAGTTATCCACAGACGTTCAGAAAGTAGCTGGCAGAATTAACCTGGAGCCTGGGAATCCTGATGTCCATTCCCCTAGTTAACCCATGGCACCTCTGGTCATGATTATCCTTTTGCTGAATATAGGATTATCCCAGGAGTATGAATCTCTTTTGTGATAAGGTACGACATAACGTTTAAGCACAGGTCTAAACTTGGGAGTATGTGCAATTTGGGGAAAAAGTACTGTTGTTCAAAACAGAAGTAATTAATGAAGGTTAATTGTGATTGGTGATATTTGGCCTATAGAGGAGAATGTTGGGACTTTCACTTAAAACGTAATAGGAAACACATTAACCCTTTGGTCTGAGTTAAAAACTTAAGCTTGGCTCACCTTCAGGGGAGAACATGGTAGGAGAAAAGTCCAAGAGAGAATTAGGTGACCTCTCCTAAGGTTGGGAGGGGTGTACCCAACCCAATTGCAAATTTCAGAAAAAAAGCACTCACAAGAACACTCAAGCTCCAAGTGTGCAAAGTTGTTCATTGTGTTTAGAAAACACTTCCTTCTTACTGATCCACAGCATGGCACCAGTATGAGTTGGGCAGAAACTCAGCATGTAGACAGCTAAGAAAGAATTGATTTGCTGTAAGTCTCGCAGCACTTCATATGGAATAAGGGTCACTGGATTCCAGTCCTGTTTCTGACTGCAGAGCACTGTCTGTCTCAGACTGGCTTCCGCAGAAGCCAGAAGATTTCGTGGAAGAGCCATGGCCTGTTTCCAGGTTGCAGTTCACCCACTGCCCTAGGGAGTGTCATTAGTGGGAGGGAAGTGAAGTTGGGATTTAAAGGGATGAGGAGAGGAGAGAAAAATTAAAGCAGGGTGGAGAAAAATCCTGATAATTCTTATTAAGCAGAA